TGGCTGGAAACCTGTGGCCAGTGGTGCCTTTGCCTAAGTTTTCCTCAGGCCCACTGGGCTCGTCCTGCCTAGCATGCTGCACTCAGCTCACACTACCAGCCTGTATCCCATGCCTCCAAGGGAGACTGGGAGTCAGGTATGAAGTGGTAAGGGCTGTGTGAGCAAGTGTGGGGCCCAGCATTGCATAGTCAGACACGCCAGCTATGCTGTGGGGCAGGCAGCTCCAGGTGGCAGCCTGGGTGCTGGCTCTCTGTGAAGCTGTGACTGGACCAGATGCACCACAAGCAGCTTCTCCCGCTAGCATAAGGGACTGCAGTGGTGCACGGAAGCTTGGAGATGCCAGGAACCACAAGGCCCCAAAGAGGAAGTCACAGTCTTGGCTTGGGGAGCACCCAGGTCTGGAATCCCCAAAGGACCACAGCTTTTCTCTCCTCTTTGCCCATGTGGCAAGCAGGGGGCATGTTTCAGCCCTGTTTGTGTTCTTTTAGCCTCGCCATTTGGTGGGTCCCAAGTTCTTGTCCTGCGAACCAGAAGAATGAAGTATGCAGAGAAGTGGAGCATGAACAAGATGAAGAGCTTTATCAAGCAATAGAACAGCTCAGAGCAGACTCACAGTGCCTAGCTCTTTTCTGCAGCCAGGGAGTTGCAATGAGTGTTCAGCTCCTACCAGAGAGGAGATGCTGGAGTGGGAAGCTCCTCTCTGCTGGCAGGTTATCCCATTGTCTCTGCAGCTCTCCGCAGAGAGGAGGCCCTAGAGTGGGTAGCCTCTCTTAGGCAGGTCATCCCATCATCTCTTTGTCATCTCTCCATCCTCTTCCCAAATCTGGTTGAGTCCAGGGTTTCTACAGGCAGCAGAGGGGAGAAAGTACATGCTGATTGGTCCATGGGCGGCCATGGGCCCGCACAGGGAAAGGCTCCAAAAGGTCCCCCTGTGGTTCATAGGACTGTCAGCCCAGCCACCTGGCTTCAGGCCTTCCCCAGCTTGAAGGTGGGGCTTCACCAGGGACCTGACCCTTTCTGCCCAGGAGCTTGTTGGCCTCCCACCACTGTTTATGGCACTCAGGCTGTTCATGCCAAGGGTTGCCTGCAGGCCAGCAATGAGCTGCCCTCAGTGCCCCCCTCCTCAGCCTCCCTCCTGTGCTCATCAGTGCCCAAAGTCCAGAGGGGGCCAAGGTGACAGGGCCTGGCATGTCAGCACTGCCCCAAGCATGCACACACCCGGCCAGGTTGCAACAGCACCCAAGCTTGGCCCCAACCTTACTCCAAGATCAGAGCAGGCAGTGACAGTAGGGAGAAGCCAAGCAGCAGGAGCAGGTACTTCCAAGCCTGTGGGCAGGGGGACCTTCCCAAGCCCCTGCAAGCGCAGAGATGCCTGGATCCATAGCCACAGCAGGGTGGCTGTAGCAGTGCCTTGGAGGGCGGGGCTCCTGCCTGTTCCTAGTTCCCAAGAGCACAGGGGTGCCCAAGTCACAGCCATGGCTTTGGCAGCTGCAGTTGTGCCTGGAGAGCTCCATGTCCCACCAACTTCGAAGGGGCAGGGCTCCCATTTGTCCCCAGCTCCTGCTGGCTCTGTGGAGCATGCAGCCCCAGCGACACCTCCTCTCTGCATTTTCCCCACAGTGGTTCTGGGCAAGGTGCAGGTGGCATGGTGGCCCTGGCCAACCCCACACAAATGAACCTGACACTCCCAGGGCTAGCCCTGCAAGTCCCAGCTACACTTTTGGCCAGGTACTCACAGGCTCCCAGAACATGACAGGGAGTGAGGTTGAGGCTGTGGCAGAGGCTCCAGGCCTAACAGCAGGTCCTACCTGGCCATGCAAGGGTGGGGGTGGTGCAGTAAGCAGCCTCGGGGATGCAGAGTATGGGGACACAGAGCACAGAGGTTCCACCATCACCTCTGCCGCTCCTGCCGCAGCTTCTACCACCACCGCTAATGCCTCCCCACTGCAGCGGGCATGATGGTAGCAGCTGCTCTGGATGACCCACCACCGCCATCATTATCATATAATACAATCACACTCCTAGTTATAATTGAGCGCAAAACCACGTGTAAACAAAAACCTGCATTCAAATACATATAGTGTATAAAATACTTTTTTATACTTAGTGTATAGTGTATAAAGTATTTTTCATAATTTCCAAGAAATAGGATTAACCAAGATGTCCTTCAATAGGTGAAGGAATAAAAAAAATCTGTGGTATTTCCATACAATAAACTCAAGAGATGCAGAATAAGCATTTAACAAAACCCAATACCATTTCATGATAAAAACACTCAACAAATTAGAAACAGAGGGGAATTTCCTTAATCTGATAAAAGGTATGTATTAAAAACCCACAATTAACATCATACTTGTAGTGAAAGACTAGAAGCTTTTCTCCTAAGATCAGAAACAAGACAATGATGTCCATTGTCCTCTCCTATTTGACATTGCACTGGCAGTTCCAGCCAGGACAACTAAACACGGTAGAGGGGAAAAGTACCCAGATTGGAAAGGAAGAAGTGAAACTATTTCTATATGCAGATGTCATGACTTTATAGTACATAGAAAACTGAAAGAAGACACCAAAAAAAACCAAAAAACTATTAAAGCTAATAAATAAGCTCAGGGTACAAGATCGATATATAAAAATCAGTTGTATTTTTATACACTAGCAATGAACAATCTGAAAATGAAATTAAGAAAACAATTCCATTTACAATAGCATAAAAATACTTAGGAATAAATTTAACCAAGAGTGCACAAAATCTACTCACTGAAAACCACAAAATAATGTGGAAAAAAAACTAAAGAAGACCTATGAAAATGGAAAGACTTTCAGTGTTCCCGGATTAGAAGACTCAATATTGTTAAAGTGGCAACACTCCCCAAATTGATTTCTAAATTCAATGCAATTTCCATCAAAATTATTTTTAAATTTCTTGATAGTGTCCTTTGACATACAAAAGTGTTACAGGTTTTTTAGTCCTTGCATTTGACTCTTTAATCCATTTTGAGTTAATTTTTGTATACGATGTGAGGTAAGAGTACAACTTTTTCTTGTATATGACTATCTAGTTTTCCTGGCACCATTTGTTGAGAATAATATTCTTTTAACACTGAATGGCCTTGTAAATGGTCTTGATTTTTGATCCTTGTCAAAAATCAGTTGACAGTCCCAGCACTTTGGGAGGCTGAGGCAAGCAGATCACTTGAGCTCAGGAGTTGAAGACCAGCCTGGGAAATATGGTGAAACTCTGTCTCTACAAACATTAGCCAGGCATGTTGGTGTGCACTTGTAGTCCCAGCTACTTGGGAGGCTGAAGTAGGAGAATCACTTAGGCCTGGGAGATGGAGGCTGCAGTGAGCCATGATCGCACCACTACACTTCAGACTGGGCAACAGAGTGAGAACCTGTCTCAAAACAAACAAAAAAAAAATCAATTGACCATAGATATATGGCTTTCTCCATTGTATTTCATTGATCTATATGTCTCCAATCTTGAATAGAAGAAAGAAAAAAGTTGGAGGATTTGTGATTTCAAAACTTACTACAAAGGTAATCAAGACGCTATGGTACTGACATAAGGATAGATGCAAAGACCAGTGGAATATAACTGAAAGTTATAGCTAAGTCATAGCTATAAATCCCTGTAACCTGACTAGGCAAGGATTTCTTAACTACAACAGCAAAATCACAAGCAACAAAAGAAATAATTTATAAATTACATTTCATGAAAGTTAAAAACAGGTCAGGCATGGTGGCTCTGTAATCTCAGAGCTTTGGGAGGCCAAGGCAGGAGGATCACTTGAGGCCAGGAGTTCAAGATTAGTCTGGGCAATATAGTGAGACCCTGTCTCTACAAAAGCATTAAAATAATTAGCTAAATGTGGTGCTGTGTGTCTATAGTCTTAGCTGCCTGAGAGACTGAGGCGAGAGTACCTCTTGAGCTCCAGAGTTCAAGGCAATAGTGAGCTAGCTGATCATGCCGCTGAATTCAGGCCTGGGTGACAGAGTGAGAGCCTGCCTCAAAAAAAAAAAAAAAAGGAAAGGAAGAAAGAAAGAAAGAAAGAAAGAGAGAGAGAGAGAGAAGAAAGAAAGAAAGAAAGAAAGAAAGAAAGAAAGAAAGAAAGAAAGAAAGAAAGAAAGAAAGAAAGAAAGAAAGAAAGAAAAGAAAAAAGAAAATTTAAAGCGTTTGTGTGTCAAAGGGCACCATGAAGAATTAAAAAGGAACCCACAGAATGAGATAAATTATTTTTAAATCATATCTCTGATAAAGTTCCAGTATCCAGAATGTAGAAATAACTCTTAAAATTTAATAAAAAGACTAATAACTCAAATTTTTAAAAGGCAAATGTTCTGAATAGACACTTCTACAAAGAGATACACAAATGACCAATACACATATAAAAAGATGCTCAAAATCTTTACTCATTAAGGATGTGGAAAAACTGTTTCCTACTGTTGTGGCTTTTTCACTCCTGTTGTGTGGTGAGTGGGAGGGAGTGTTACAGCTCTTTTACTCCCCCGACTGGTGAGCTCCAGGTTCTTGTCCCAAGACTAAGAAAAATAAGGCACACAGATACTGAAGAGTGAATAAGGCAGAGTTGGATTTATTAAGCCACAGAAAAGCTCTCAGCAAAGAGAGGGGACCCAAAAGAGGATTGATAGCTATAAGGCTGAGTCACAGGTTTTTACAGGCTTAGAATAAGGAAATACATGCTGATTGGTTTATGGGTAGGCTTGGAAAAAGCACTACTCAGGAAGAGGTACAATAGTGTAAAGAACCAATTGGGGGCTGAAGTGAAGGCTTGGCCTGAGACCTTGGCCCAGGACCAATCAGGGGCTGATGTGACATTACACTTTATGCAAATGAAAATTTGGCCAGCAGCTAATCACAGAAAGATAGGTATATGTAAAATAGGTAAAAGGTAAGGACCAGTCGGGAGGAAGCGTGTGAAATGAGACAAAGGCGCGCCAAGGACAGAGATATGTGTTCAAAAAAGGAGTGGGATTTTTTCATCTGGATGCACAGAGTAAGGGTTTCTATTCAAACATGCAGGCTCTTTTCTTTATCTGGGGCTTGCACCTTGATTTTCAGGCTGTTCTTGGTTTGAAGAAGTTCCACCAAGGATCCACCCTAACTGCCTGCCTGACTGGCTTCTGCCTTGCTCTTTTCTTACTACCTGTCTCTCTCTCTGGCATCTTGGCTCCCTCTGAGACTGCTCCCATCCTCCTCCTCTAGCCTTCTGGGCAGGACAGGTGTTTCAGTTTCTTAAGAGAAATATGAAACAGAGAAGCACCATTTCTGCCTCAAGACGCATGTAAGGAGGTATAGATTCAGGTGAGTTCCTTTACAAACATTTTAAACATACATTTTCCTTTAATTGTAATAGCCTGTATCAGGAGTTCTTAAGCTTTGCTGCACATCAGAACCACCTGGAGGGCTAGTAAATATGCTGATTCCTGAGCTACCTCTGGAGACTCTGATTCCTTTGGTGTGGGGATTTCCCAAGAATCTCTTCAGAAAAGCTGATCTGGGCTGGGTGCAGTGGCTCATGCCTGTAATTCCAGCATTTTGGGAGGCCAAGGTGGGCAGATTGCTTAAGTCCAGGAGTTCCAGATTAGCCTGGCAGATTTCTTGAGTCCAAGAGTTCCTCACCTAACATGGTGAGACCCTATCTCTGCAAAAAATACCCCCCCAAAATTAGCTAGGTGTGGTAGCACACGTCTATACTACCAGCTACTCAGGAGGCTAAGGTGAGAGGATCACTTGAGCTCAGAAGGTTGAGATGTGATCACACCACTGCATTCCAGCATGGGTGACAGGGCAACACCCTGTGTCAAAAAAAAAAAAAAAAAAAATCAAAGAAAAATTGTCTGGGCTCAGTGGCTCACACCTGTAATACCAGCACTTTGGGAGGCAGAGGCACGTGAATCATGAGGTCAGGAGATTGAGACCACCCTGGCTAACACGGTGAAACCCGGTCTCTACTAAAAATACAAAAAATTAGCCAGGTATGGTGGTGGGCACCTGTAGTCCTAGCTCCTGGGGAGGCTGAGGCAGGAGAATGGCATGAATCCAGGAGACAGAGCTCGCAGTGCCAAGAGTGCACCACTGCACCCCAGCCTGGGGGACAGAGCAAGACTCCATCTCAAAAAAAAAAGAAAAGAAAAGAAAATGGATCTGGGAACCATACTTTGAGTAGACCTAACATATAAATAATATTTTTCTTATGCTGAAAGAAGTAGAGAGGTTTATTTGGCTACATATCTTTACGTAAGGCCTTGTTATTACTGGTGGTTGTATAATTTAGAGCTGTCTTTCTCAATCTAATGTATATTGTACTCCAGAAAGCTAAATTCACTCCCTTAGAGTTGAGGTGGGCCACAGAGATGGGGAAGGGGAGAGACAACCAGCAAAAGGGAGCCAGGCCACTGAATGTAACTTGGAGAGGTTTGAGATTTGACATCATCTTCCTTTTTCTCCCCAAAGCCTTCCAGGCCCAGAACATGACTGCCTCTGAAATTTTGGAGTAAATGAATTAATAACCAGCAAAAAGATGAATGATTTTTATAGATGTACAATATCCCTTTTATTTCTAATTTGCTGAGAGTTTATATCATCAAAGTGTGTTGAGCTTTGTCAAATGCTTTTCTACATTTATCAGAAAAGATCATATAGTTTTTGTCTTTATTCTATTGATATAGTGACTTAAATCGATTTTCATGTATTAAAACAATCTCACTGGGATAAACTCAACTTGGTCATGTTATATTATTCTTTTAAAATATTGCTGGATTTGATCTGCCAATATTTTGTTAAGAATTTTTCTATGTTCTTGAGGAATATTGTTCTGTAGTTTTCTCTTATTGTAATTTGTTGGTCTAATTTTGGTATCAGGGTTATTCTGGCCTCATAAAAGGAGTTAGAAAATATTCCATCCTTTATTTCTGATAGTTTGTGTAAAACTGGTGTTATTTCTTCCCCAAAGGTTTAAAAAAAATCACTAGAAAAATCCTCTAGTTCTAACGTTTTCTTTGTGGTAAGGATTTATAGTTAATTATATTTCTATAACAAATGTAGGGTTATTCACATTTGCCATATCATCCCATGTCAGTTTTGATATGTTGGATTTTAAAAGAAATTCATCTATTTCATTTAAGTTGTTGGATTTTTTAACATACAATTGATCATAATATTTATTTGTTATTCTTGTAAAGTCTATAAGATCTGTAACATATTTCCTCTTTGTTCTCAATCAATCTAGATAAGGCTTCATCAATTTTTTGGTCTCTTTCTCTCTCTCTCTTTCTTTTGAGACAGGGTCTTCCTCTGACACCCAGACTGGAATGCAGTGGTACCATTATAGCTCACTGCAGCCTGAGGCAGGGATTCTCCTGCCTCAGCCTTTCAAAGCGCTGGAATTATAGGCATGAGCCACTGCTCCTTGCTGATTTTATCAATGTATTAAAATGTTGTCAAACAACCAATTTTGATCTTGTTCATTTTCTATTTTATTTCTTTTATTTTTATTAATGCCTTCCTTCTACTTACTTTGAGTTTAATTAGCTCTTCTAATTCTAGCTTATGTCACTGATTTAAGTCTTCGATTGTAGACGTTTATTCTTTCTAATACGAGCATTTAAAGCTATAAATTTCTCTCCAAGTACTGCGTTAGTTGCATTTCATGAGTTTTGATATGTGGTATTTTCGTTATTATCAGTTCAAAATATTTTATACTTTGCCTTTTGATTTCTTCTTTGACTCAGATTCTTTAGAAGTCAGTTGGGTTTTTTTCAATAAAACACAATTACTTTATTGATTCCTTACAATCAAATACTGCCAGCTAGCATTACTTCCACTCATGCATCATCAAAAACAAAGGATATTTCCTCCTTGGTATTTTCAAATGATGCATTATACAATAAACAAAGTTAGAACTTAAAATGCACCCTGATTAATTATGTAAACTGCTAATTTGCTTAAAAAAGCATAACTAACAATTAAGATGTATATCTTACAACAAATAAGGTGTGGTAAGATACACACCTTAAACAAACAAAATGGGCATTAACAAAATGCATACAGTCAATACATGATAGAAAGCATGTTTCAAATACAAGGCAGCCCCTCAGGCCACCATATTATTTAGGTTTTGCATTATCATTTATGGCATTATAGATTACACATAACATATTTTATACATTTTAACCCTGAAGATAAGAAAAATAATTGTTGCTTGAAAAAAAATTATTCCAGGTAGCCATTTGATTTGTATCAGGAGAAACTGAACCTCCATGAGTTTAGTGTCTGTCAAATTGGAATCATTAGCTCAAGTCAGTGAATGAGATATGCAACACATTTCACAGTGACTGTTTCCCAAGTCCTAGCAATGCCTCTTCTCCCATAGTTCACCAGAAGATTAAGCATTTCCGGGACCAGGATGCCCCTTCTATGTGGTTTTCCCATTTTTTTTTCTGCTGGATTAACTATTATTACTGTATTAACTCTTCTCCCCTCTTCTGTGGCCTTCCATTTTAATTATTAATAAATCCTTTCAGAATATTCTCAGGAAGTTCCATAAGGGGAAGTTCTGGAGATGTAAAATCCAAGGGAGGAAAATTGGGGATTGGAATGTCTTTGGCTTTCCCGGCATTTGCTGCAAACTTCTGCCAGGTTGAGGAGGCTGTAGCAGTTTCTGAATGTGGTGGCAAGCTCCGTAACACTGACATTTCTACAAAATTAGCACCTACATCCAGCTCCTTTTCTACTGGACCTTTTTAGAAGTCTGGCCTTTTCAGCCTTTAGTTATTTTCTTTCCTTAATCTTTCATTCTCAGCTACAAGGAATTCCACATGCCTCTTCAAATCTGCAATTTTGGTTGCCTGCTCCTCTATATTTGATTTATCATCTTCTGGGGCTTTGCTTCCAATACATAGCGCTGCTGGCTCACTCTTTTGCTGAAGTAAATATAGTAGTGTGTCTGGATCCTTGCCAAAGATCCGCTGAATCTCAGGCAAGCGTTTCTCTGAGGAAGTACTGTACTGAGAAATGGAGCTCTGGCCCTCCACATCCTCAGCAGAGGGTTTGTGAGATGCCTGAATATGGGTAGCCACATCCTTGTCTGTGTTCTGCTAGGCTTTCAATCTTTCCTCACGCTGGGCCCTTTTCCATCTCTCTTGGATGAGGAGGAGCTGTTTCATGTGGCTATCTTTTTGCAATTCCAGTGAAAGATGAGCCTGCTCAGACTGTGTCAGCTTCGTGGCTTCAGAAAGATATGCCGCAGCCTTTTTGTGACAAGAAATAGCCTCTTCGTATTTGCCTGCAGCTAATAAACGGTCTGCTCGTCTGCTCTGTTGATGAGCCAGGTTAAGGGGTCCTTCCATTACTTCCATAGACAGCAGCGGCCTTAGGAAGCGCAGCGGTGGCGCCAGGGAACATGGAGGGCACTGTAGGCCAGCGCGACGCAGCCGCAGAGACTGCGGCCTCTCTGCGCCCCTAGAACCAGCAGTGGGCGCAGAGGGAGCAACAATCTCACCACTTCCTCCTCAGGCCCCCGCGCCGCCGGCCCGCCCCCTGCGCCGCAGCCGCCGCCACGCACGGCGCCATGACGTCACAAGCGCTGGGGTTTTTAAAAAATTATTTCCAAATTATTGAGGCTTTTCTTGATATCTTGGTGTTGATTTCTAATTCCTTTTGGGTCTTTTATATAACTTTTCTTTCTCTGCTGAGATTTTCTATCTCTCCATTCATTATGAATATAGTTTTCTTTATTTCCTTGAGAACAGGTATAATGGTTACGTTTTGATACATATTTACAAATTCCAACATGTGGCTCCTCTCACAGGCAGCTGCTTGGTTGTCTTTTCTTTTGAGTGTGGGTCATGTTTTCCTATTTCTTTATATGCTGAGTAATTCTGGATTGTGTCCTAAACATTGTTATGTTGTGTAGACTCTGGATTTTGTTTCATTTTTCTGAAAAGTGTTGATTGGTTGTTTGGTGTTTGTCTTAACAGGCATTTAAGTTGTATAAATAAAAAATATAATTCTAAGCCCCACAACTAACGGAATCGACTCCTCAGCCAAGGAAGGGCATTCTAAAGAAACACTAGTTCAGGCCATGATGGGAATAGGTGGTCAGACATGCCTCATTATACTCTCCTCTTTTTGTAATTCAGCACAGCTGACCAGCATTAACATTAAAGCAGTCCTTAAGCCTGATAAAATAGACTCTTTGTAGCAATAAGATACCAACATGACAAATAGACATATTTTGAAATGGTCCTGCAAAGCTATCTCTTGTGGGGAAAACACATTCTGTAGAGAATCCCCTTCCCATTCCAGGTCTTTTCTCTGATCCAGAAGAGAAATAACTAAGAGTCTGGCATCTTTTTTGGGTATTTTGTTTGTTTGTTTTTGAAATGGTTTTTCTCTGTCACCTAGGTTGGAGTGCAGTGGCGTGATCACAGCTCTCTGCAGTCTCGCCCTCCTGGGCTCAAGCAATCTTTCCCCACCCCCCAGTTTCCTGAGTAGCTGGGACTATAGGCATGTGCCACCATAACCGGGTAATTTTTAAATTTTTTGTAGAGACAGAGGTGTCACTATATTGCCTGGGATGGTCTCAAACTCCTGGGCTCAAGCAATCCTCTCCCTTTGGCCTTTCCAAAGTGATGGGATTGCAGGTGTTAGCCACTGTACCCAGCCACCACATGGCTTTAAACTCCATGTCTCTATCATTTCAGATGCTCTAAACGTCCCTGCCATCTGGTCCAGATGGAGTCCTCAGGCAACCCAGAGACCACCACCTTTTTTTACTATGACCTTCAGAGCCAGCTGTGTGAGAACCAGGCCTGGGCCTTTGCTACCCTTGCCACCACCATCCTGTACTGCCTAGTGTTTCTCCTCAGCCTAGTGGGCAACAGCCTGGTGCTGTGGGTCCTGGTGAAGTATGAGAGCCTGGAGTCCCTCACCAACATCTTCATCCTCAACCTGTGCCTCTCAGACCTGGTGTTCGCCTGCTTGTTGCCTGTGTGGATCTCCCCATACCACTGGGGCTGGGTGCTGGGAGACTTCCTCTGCAAGCTCCTCAATATGATCTTCTCCATCAGCCTCTACAGCAGCATCTTCTTCCTGACCATCATGACCATCCACCGCTACCTGTCGGTAGTGAGCCCCCTCTCCACCCTGCGCGTCCCCACCCTCCGCTGCCGGGTGCTGGTGACCACGGCTGTGTGGGTAGCCAGCATCCTGTCCTCCATCCTCGACGCCGTCTTCCACAAGGTGCTTTCTTCAGGCTGTGATTATTCCGAACTCACGTGGTACCTCACCTCCGTCTACCAGCACAACCTCTTCTTCCTGCTCTCGCTGGGGATTATCCTGTTCTGCTACGTGGAGATCCTCAGGACCCTGTTCCGCTCACGCTCCAAGCGGCGCCACCGCACAGTCAAGCTCATCTTCGCCATCGTGGTGGCCTACTTCCTCAGCTGGGGTCCCTACAACTTCACCCTGTTTCTGCAGACACTGTTTCACACCCAGATCATCCGGAGCTGCGAGGCCAAACATCAGCTGGAATACGCCCTGCTCATCTGCCGCAACCTTGCCTTCTCCCACTGCTGCTTTAACCCGGTGCTCTATGTCTTCGTAGGGGTCAAGTTCCGCACACACCTGAAACATGTCCTCCGGCAGTTCTGGTTCTGCCGGCTGCAGGCGCCCAGCTCAGCCCCAATCCCCCACTCCCCTGGTGCCTTCGCCTATGAGGGTGCCTCCTTCTACTGAGGGGCCTGTGGCGCTGCAGGAGCAGGTGGACAGGGGACTGGAATCGGGGTCATGGAGAAGTGGGCCTGGAAGGAGCACTGCAGAACACATCACGGTGGGGACGTCACCTCCGCTGCAGGCGTGCAGTGGAGATGATTCATTACACCAGTGGGTCCCGCCAGCCTCTTATCTGCGGGAAAGTGGCTTCCTTCCTGGGAATTTTATACTGCCATCCAGAAAAACATTTCTTGAACTCTGAGTTCACCTTGCACGCTCCTTCATTTAGACGTGTGTTTCTAATCAATGCTTGGTTCAGAAGGTTCTAAGACATGAAAGGATTCTGGGAAAGGTGCTTCCTTGAAGACTTTACAGGGCCTAAAGCTCAATGTGTGTGATAACTGCATGATGCTGACAGCACAGTGCCTCCCTTGCCTGACTGTAGGGTTGTCCCAACTGGTTTATTCACTCTGGAGGCGCCTGGCTCTGTATTCCTCAGGTACTGCTGGACGAGGCTGTCTGGAAGACAAAAGTCACCATACCCTGAGATAAGCAAGGTCATGTTGAAATCTGGATTCTAAAAATCCACAACTAGACTGGAGAAATGTTCTGTATCCTGGATCCAAGTCCTAGTCCATGAATTGGCCCTTAAAAATGTAGCTCATAAATATTTGATTGAAGGAATGAATATAATCAGTGCTGCCTTCTGCACTAAGATAATACAAAGATGAATGAGATACAGTTGCTACCCTCCAGGGACCAACAACCCAACCCCAAAGGCTCACCTACCTTGGTGAACACCCAACTTGGTGAAGGCATCTAGGGTGGACTCCTCCAACATCTCATCCTTCCCAGGTGGATAGTGAGCTGATTTCAGACTTATCACTTTGCACCTAAAGTGTCCTCCTCCTGTTTGGTGGATGGTGCTAGCTTCCCCCCACCCACCCACACTCCAAACCTCAAGTCCTCTTGGAGGCCTGTATTTTCTTTCTCTCAACTTCCACAGCCAGGTCCAAAGGACTATGCCTGTCTAGTGGCTTTCAGAGTTGACTCATTCTTGCTATTGCACGCCCACGGTTTCATCCCTGAAACAGGGCCGCACTTTCTTGGCATCTCCGCACTGCTCCTCTCTTTCCCCATCAGGCTGTCCTCTGCCCTTACGCCAGGTGCTTCAAAACCCTTAGTGATTCCTCATTACTTACAAATAAAGTCCATACACTTTAGCAAGGCTTTCAAGGCCTCCACAATCCGATGCCAGCCAACTTTTCCATTCTTATTTCACTCTAAGCCTCCTCCCCACAGCAGCTTGGGATCCAGCCCCAAAACACCACTGGCCTTCTTCCAGACACCTATCTCCCCAATACCCTACCTCTAGGCATTTGTCTTGCTGTCACCTGGGTCTGGAACATGTTCTAGCTGACAGGCCAACTTCTCCAGGACACCCTCCCCAATCTGCAAATTAGAACACTCTCTGGGTTGTCATGGGATTCTGCTTGTCCCCTCTAAAATAAAACAACTTTGTGTTGCAGTTATACACATGCAATGTCTTATCTCCCTGCCCCATCAGGCTGCAAGCTGCTTGGGGACAGGAACCTGGTGTTGAACCCCAGTGTTCTATCACTGTGTGCTCAGTGGGAGCAAAGAATCAACAGCTGATACTATCCTTCAGATTTATGCTTCTTGGGGAGCCATGCCCTGGAGCACACTTTACCTTCTTTGTCCCAGGATGCTTCTCTATAAATATTTACCTTTCTTTCCTAGTCAGCACTCTCAGAGAGTAGTAGAAAGAGAGTAGGGTGTAATAGTAGAGAGATTGCTTCTCTCTCTGTCTGGCGATGGCTATGCTTGGCCTTGCCTTCCAGTTCATGGTACACATGCCTGCCTCTCACACTGGCCCATTGCTTCACACCCAAGGGCATAAATGTAAGTCCCACTCTAAACTGTGCCATGCCACAAAGACCTGGGCCCAATCTGTGAACCTGATTCAGCTCTGGCGTGGGGATTTGGAAAAGCTTCCCATGTGATTCTGACATGCACCTCCTCCGTTAGGTACATTTGGCTGCAAGTGTTTTTGTTTTGTTTTGTTTTGTTTGGGTTTTTTTTTTTTTTTTTTTGAGACAGAGTCTCGCTGTGTCACCCAGGCTGGAGTGCAGTGGCGCGATCTCGGCTCACTGCAAGCTCTGCCTCCTGGGTTCACGCCATTCTCCTGCCTTAGCCTCCCGAGTAGCTGGGATTACAGGCGCCCACCACCATGCCCAGCTAATTTTTTGTATTTTTAGTAGACATGGGGTTTCACCATGTTAGCCAGGATGGTCTCGATCTCCTGACCTCGTGATCTACCTGCCTCGGCCTCCCAAAGTGCTGGGATTACAGGCGTGAGCCACCGCACCTGGCCAACTTTTTAAAAAAATGAGTCCAGAGTCTTCTACCGTCCCTTGAGCAGGGATTTGCACACAGAAGACACTCAATATCTTGTTATTGAATAAAGTAGATACCAATATAGCCCAGTAGATACCAATATAGCCCTATGGCCAACCTGGAGAGAGCTTGTGAGGCATTTCCCCTTCAGTTCCAGATGCAACTTCAATGATCTATTTGCCAATGGGGGAGTAGATCTGGAGGAGTTTGATTGGTCTAGGGAAGATCCAGGGCTAATTTTAATAATGAGGCCAGTAGCAACTGCTGGACAGGGCTGGACGGCATACCAGTGAAAGGAAGGGGCTCCCATGGACCTGCCAGCCTACAGGTGGGGCCACTACTCACCACTGATGGGAGAAACAGGATAAGGAAGAGATAATTAGATAGTTTGTGGAATCAGAGCTAAGCCTATGGGTTTCTAGTTGGCCTAATCTTTCAAACACACTTTCACACTGATTCTTAACATTTTGTTCAACTTTAATTCAGAGGGCAGGCTGAGCCAGGGAGCAAAAAGGCAAAGGACTCCGACTCACATACCCACTTGGCAAAACCAAAGCACCTTGGGCTTTGAACCCACCCTTCTTAGAAGGCAGGTTTGGGGGTTGAGGCCCCTTGAGAGGCTCACTTCACCCTCTCCCCATGCCATCCCATTCCTACCTATCCCAAGATGCTTATCTTGTATTTCTTTCAGCACATCCAGCCATCTCCCTGGGAGCGTTTCATATCTGACTCTTTATACTTCCAGTGATATTTTGGCATCTCTAATAGACTGGCTCCCAGGGCAGTCTTTAATCAGGGGTCTTCGCCTAATCTAGCTCCTCAAGAACCCAAGGGAAGAGGCACAAAGAGAAGTATGAATGGGAAGATAGAAGGATAACCCAGTCAGCGAGGGAGTGGCAGATGAGACTGCTGAAAAGGAGCTGCCAGAGAGTTGCACGCCACGAGCCACACTGTCTGTCCCTGACCACAACCTCCACTAGTCACCACCTCCTGGGCTTCCCCTCCCTCCACCCACGGAAACCACTGCTCAATCTCAACTGGACTCTTGCAGGCCTATCTCTCCCTCCAAACAGAGGTGTCCTGGACACAGGGCTGCAGACCTCTAACCACGCCTGGAACACAAAAAACCCACAGTGGTTCTACAGCATTTACACCTCCACATTCCCTCAGACAGAATCCAGAAGAGAGGAACCTCGCTGATCTCTGAGCAGAGCATGTCTCCAAGCTCAGGCCAGCCCCAGCCCGCCAATGACCTCAACTGGAGTGGAAATCTCTCAAAAGCACAAACCCAGTTCCTGCCATCTCCCTCGGTGCCTGGCAATGTTTGTGGTTGGCTGAGTGAGTTAACAGGAGACCATCTTTTGGCTTTTTTCTACTTCTGTTTCCTCTTACTATACTTGCCTACATCTCATCTTCTGGTCAACACCAGGTACTCACCCCATGAGCTTCCTGTGAACTTGTCTAGGGCCCATCAGCCCAAACATCATTTGTTTTGTTTGGAATTAAGCTTCGTTGAACTTTTCACAGCTTTCATTTGTGCAACCGTCTGTGATGGCACAAAGAAGTCCACAAACATGGAAACCTGGTCTAAAGATGTCCAAAGTAAACTGTCTGTGGAGTTGAATGTCATTTGAGCCCTAGATCTAAACTCCAAGTCCAAGCTCTTTCCCACTGTGACCTTGGGCCTCTCAAGGCTCAGTTTCCTCATCTATAAACTGTTGAGAAGCCAATAACAGACTCACCCACACTATGAGGGTGTGCATGAAGCATGTATGTAAAAGTACTTACTTTGTAGATCATTCTGTCCTAGATAAGTATGAATTATTATGCATCATTTCATTTAAAAAGAAAGCTTCACTGTGTTATATGAATAAGTAAAAGATTAGCATGTATTGTCTTACCTTTGGCTGGCTGTCTTAGTCAGTTTGGGCTGCTATGACAAATACCATAAACTGGGTGGCAAACACTCAGCCCATAGCATTGATTATGTCCCCTCATTTCTACCAAGGGTGTATAGGTTCTTAAAAGTCTTCTACTTATGGAGGATCTGGGTTAGGGATTCAGGATTGGAGAACAAAGTGTGGAAAAAAGGCCTGTGTGAGTCAGGGTGGTGGGAAACTGGCTCAATTTAGACCTTAGGTGAAACTTTCCAGGAGACCAAGTCTATCTTGAATGCTCTGTGGCTCAGTTTCCTGTCCCCATCGCTCCCCTGGCTTGACACCCAAGTCTTCTGTCTCCAAGTCCAAGGCTTTTTTTTTTTTTTTTTCTGTATTATAAAATATTTGAGTCTGAACAAGGACCTTTCAGAAATACAGTCCTACAGTCAGAAAGTATGATACTATTATTGGCTGGAAATTTCAGGCATGCTGAAAACTTGGTGGGAGATATTTGGGGGTTTCAGGGAAGTTTGGGAAGGGTAAGAGGGATTATTCTAACACTTCAACTTATTCTGAGCACAGAGCTTTGCTCTCTACCTTGAGGCCAGGCCAGATCATAGATGTGGGGTTGCTGCAACCCCTCCCACACCTCCACTGGCCCCTCCACAAAAGGTTACAGGTTGAATTGTGTCATCCTCTGCTCCCAGATTCATATGTTCAACTCCTAACCCACAGTCTCTCTGAATATGACCTTATTTGGAAATAGGATTATTGCAGATCATATAAAATGAGATTATGCTAAGGGAAGCTGAGTTTATAATTCAATATGGCTGGTGTCCTCGCAAAAAGGGTAAATTTGGACACAGACACA